TACTAGGAAGCAGCTAGAATTGAAATTTTAGCTTTTAGAGTTATCATAGTTCATGTTCTGCGGTGATCACAGTGTTTTTCTTGATGCATACTTTTAGCACAGGACATTTTTAGATTACATAACCATAGACAAGGCTATAGGTGACAGAAATGAATGTAACTCTGTTAAAAGAGACCATTTGTTGACTAGAATGTATGGGGAGGAGAAAGAAAGGAAGAGGTAAAACATTCTTGGACAATGGACAGTTAGKTCAACCATTACAGCAGAGATGATACATGAACAGCCTAAATTAGTTCTTTAGATTAGATTGTCATCATTMCTTTTTTATTGCTGTTTCGTAGCATTGTCTTCTCTTATCGGAAACCTGTTCGTAGAATTAAAGCATTCAGCTGAAGCAACTGGTTTTACTTCATTATAAAGTGCCCGAGTACATTGCTTCGCTGGAAAGCATGCAGGGGTAAATGTCTGTCCTCTTGGGCTCTATCAATAACCATTAAGGATCTTCTCCCATTAGACCAAACTTCATAAGGCCTCTGGGCTTGAGGAATAGGCTCAGCCATTCTATGTGATGGAGTATACTTAGATGGCATCACTGCTGTTTGGAAATGCAAATTGGAACAGTAATTTTTCCCTCAGGATGATTGCCACYGGGCCTATGTGCATGGCTTTATTCTCATTTAACTTCTTCCCTTAATCAAGAAGAACCTTGCTCCCCTATAGGCAACCCTCAATTTGCTCCTCAACCCCTCCCTTTTTCATCTCTCCATCTGTATGTGCGCACATGCACGTGCACACACATATATCTTAGGGGCTCATTTAGCATATCCAAGCTACTGCAGTATGATTATTCATATGGCAATGAGGCTGAATCAAGATGGGAGTGTTTCCGAATGATGACTTTGGAGCCTGGCTGCAGGGAATTCAAACTTAATCAAGATAAGAATGTCCTTTTTCTGAGCAACTWCCACAGGGTTATGGCCAAAGTGGAAAGAGAGTGAGAGGGACAAAAGTATCGTGCACACTCCCACCCATTTTTTTTATGTGGAGCCAGAGGTTTTCTGCCATGAGCGATGGCTTCCTTTTTAAGTCTTTTGGTGAAACTTTTGTTTTACTGACAGAGGAGACATTAGTAAGATTAGCCTTGCACTACTCCATCAGTCCTATCTCAGCARTGATCTCTTTCTCATTTTCTCTCATGGTGTTCCAAATGTCCACGCTTGCTGGATGTTGTCCACCCTTCACCTCCTAAGATGAGCCAGACGTTTCAGTGAAACCCTGGCTGGTTTCAGCCTACCTGCCACCAGCTCAGCGCTTATCCACCGGCCTTGGTCCCATGAAGAGGAGGGGGCAATGATGGTTCCTGATCAATAAAACATTGACTGCATTAAAGACTATGAATAAGTCATAGAGGGAAAGAACTCAATCGTCGGGACACACAGAAGAAAATGGTCTTTTTTTTTAGGACAGAGAATCTGAACAGGCAAGAAAAACATTGAAAGAACAAGGCGAAGGCCTTAAGTAGAATGGAATTTATCAACCACCGACTGACGCTTTGTTGTATGTTAAATCTCTTTTTTCCCTCCACCACCCATGGTATTTGCTGCCATTTTCTCTCTAGTAATAGCTTTTTTCCTGCGTGAGCGATAAATAAGTTATTACATCCCCGTGTCCTAAGGCTTAGCAAAGACTTTTTGAATATAAATAGTTCATTTGCCTCTATAGAGTCTCACTTTGTGCCATATGAATATATGTGTAATTACTTTTTTTTTGTGTGTGTGTGTGTCGGGGGGAGGGGTTGCACTCATTTGTGTGTGTGTTTAAAAGCAGGGGGGTTTCGGTTGTCTGAATATTGAAGATGAAGTTGCCTTACGCAAATAGATTTGTGAGGATTTTACTCTGAATATCACCTCAGATTGGATAAAGCTGTGTGTGAGCACGAGGATCTACTTGATGCTGATTTCTGTGTGCTGTTGTAACAGCAAAGAATAATCTGCCTGCTTTATGCTGTCAGTTGTGAATGCTTTAGAGCAGTCGCCCTTTTAGCTGCACACCCACAAAACGATAAGGACAAAGGCTTGTGATCCTGTAAGAAAACATATTATGCTATTTATACAAATACTGCTAATGACAATATAATGTTCACAATGCCTTTTTTATTTGTTTTTGATGATGATGATGATGATGATGATGTACTTTATTTGCAGACTCATGGTCCGTAGTACATAAAAAAACCTTGGACAATAAAAATGAAAAATACATTACAAAACAATCAAATCCAACAATTTTCTAATGTAACTATAAAAACAATAAAACTAATTTACATCAAATAWCTGGAGATAATCTACCCCACCTTATGTTTCATAACCCACATTGAGATCCCAACCCTAACACTGGAATTCACTGGTTTAGATTAAAACTGATGAAGTGGATAAAAGCATAATTAACAAATCTTCTGCCTCGTAATTACAGTTTGCAGTGTCATAGTTCCTTGTAGCAGACACTGTTATTTTGGAAGCTGATTCTATGTCGACAACATTTTGCTATGCATAGAAATATGTTGCTGCTTTGCTAACACTTGGACATGCCATGTTAGTCACCATCCATCCATCCATCCATCCATCCATAAGAATATTTTGTGTTCGTTAATTGAAATCGTGACAAAACCACATACTGTATATATTGAATAGATTAAAATGTGACAAGAATAGGGACCATACAACCCAGATCTGGTTACGAGCGAAGCTTTATTGTTTAGGCTAGAAGCAATCTGAGCAGCGCTGCCTGCACCCTGGAACGTCCGGTTCCAGGGTGCAGGCAGTTTCAACGGTCGTTTTAAACAGTGTCTTCAGTGCCTGGTCCGCCCCCTACTGGCGTACGGCTGAATCACAGGCACTCAGACAGCCATACTCATCTTCTGTATATTTATAAACAGTTTCTTATGTGTTGTAATAATGTTTCGGGCCTGTATCTAAACTATTTTAATCAAGACATAACAATAGTTAAACAATGGATTATAAAAGTAAATACTTAAAAAGGAAAACTATGAATATAGTGTGGTGCTTCTAAATCATTTTCTAACTAATAAATTCCTTTCACATCCATCCGTCCGTCCGTCCGTCCATCCATCCATCCATCCATCCATCCATCCATCCATCCATCTATCCATTATCTTTACACACCTTTCCCTGTCTAGGCCCCAGATGACAAAAGTCCATCACAGGGCCACATAGAGACAAAAAAGACCAAGACATTCACACCTAGAGACAGTTTAAATTTACCAGTTAACCTAAGATGCATTTTGCTGTATGGGAGAAAACTTGAGGAAACCCACACATTCATGGAGAGAAAATGCACAATGGTTACTATTTTAAAACATCTGTACTACTCTAGGACCTTTGTTCATAAAAGTGTACATGTGCTACTAGCCATTCCCACATTTGTCTTTTTTAATAAGATCCTTTTTAATTTTGTAAAGATGTACTCTTAAATATGTTGCCAAAAAAATCATCCCATTGTTTGTTGCAGCAGAAGTCTGACAGAAGGAATATTTTTCTCTCTCTTTCTCTGAGATTGTGATTCATACAGTATGAGTTGGAAGACAAAGGATGTAGAGGTGGAGCTTTTCGGAAGCAAATCTAGGCTTCAGAGAAGAGAAGATAAAAACAGATMTGTCCTTGTAAGAAAGAAGTCCAATAGGATTTCCAGAAAAAAAATGTTTTAAAACATCCACAAAATTAGGATAATTTTAGCATTTAATGATTATTTGCTTCTTGGAATCTGGTAAAAAAAATAGTCTGTGTCCTAAAAGCTCATTCAGTTGCCATGACTGTCTAGACTACATATTAATTTATAAAGCACCAAGCTGTTTAGTTCACATATATTTGGTCAGTAAAGTTTTTTTTCTCCAGTTTTGATCTTATATCCTTTTCAGGGAGGTTAAAAGCTCACACTTTGGAAAATTAAGAACTATAATTTCAAAGGAATTCTTTATTTTACATTTTTAAATTAATCCCTCCCGTTACACCCATTTTTATATTAAAAGGCAAATTTTGCTTATGATAATGTGTGAATTTGTTTTAGGGCTAAAGGGGAAACTGTATTCTATAAAATGACAGGATAACCTACAGAGGCTGCTTTTTTAACTAAAAACTTTTTCCCCCCTTCTGGGTGTTGAAGGCAGCAGAATAAATGCTTAATGGTGGAAAATTAAAACTGTAGGTTTTCAGCTTCTTTAATGTGTATTTCATTCTCTGTATGTCTGAGGCAAAGTGATTGTGGGGGAGTGAAATGAAGGCTGTCTACTCATGAGCCGGTGGGTTTAAGTTGTCTGGATTTATTCCAAGTGCTCTTATGTGAATAATAATCAAGGTTGTCTGGTTATTTGTGTGAGCACTTCTTGGACTACATCTTTATTTTGTGTATGAGTAAATATATTTATGCAGTATTTTTATGATGTATTTTTCTGGGCCTTAAATGTGATTTCACCTGTGAGAGACAAGATTACAGAAGCATCGATAGGAATGAACAGACGTTTCATCCACACACAGGGAGGCTGTGTTTAAAATATCCCAGTGACTTATAGATTTAGTGGGAAAACATGAATGGGTGGAGTTAGAGAAGCAGGGAAGTTGCCTTTGAGGGAGCAGCAGAGCTGTGCCACCCTTACAGCACTTTGTCCAATTAGAGTAAATGATTAGTGTGGACTGTCTCCAGTGAAATTGAATCTATCAGCCTGGCTCAGATTACTACAGGTCTCTGCAATTCAGCTATCACTTTGTCTCTGTCACACTGCAGCTGCGAATATAAAACCAACGGAATGGATGATTTCTACTTAAGGCGTAGCTTGATTGAAGCTGATTACATTTCGTAGAGGTTTATTATATTTCCATAATATGTGTGCATGTGGGTGGAGTTTGTATTTGTGAGGCTGCATGCAGGTGGTTGAGAAGAGAAAGCCACCCATGTGATTTAAAACTTGTCTTTTTAATTTATTCTTCCAGGCTGCCAGAGCCAAGGGCAAACCCCTTGGACCCACGAGACCTGGAGGACAATGATTCTGGACCGTCCATGGACCACGCCCCCTGATAAGACCAGCAGAACGGACTCCTTGTACTTCACGCTGTCCTTCATGATCAGCCTGAGCCAGCCGTCAGGCCGGCCCCCTTTCTGTCAGTCATTTTCCTCCTTCCCTCCCTCCTCRCGTCTCTGGCAGTGAACTGACCTTGACGAAGGCCACTGTGACAAATATGGATGGCCACGTCGCTTCTACTTTCAAACTTTTTAAATTTCTCACTATGAACTTTCTTTAATTGAAGCACTCAAGTCATGTGCAATCAATTACCATCAGCCTCGATTTTCACAGCCAGTCAGAGTCTTGGCTTTTACTGGTGAGCCTGGCTGACTCGGAGAGGAGCTTGGGTAGGCAGCTGAGCGTAGCATCTGTTAAGCCCAACAGATGTCAGGAAGAGGAAAGTGTGTGACACGGTGCTTTACACTCTTCATTTATTTGCAATATCATTTTGGTTCTGCCYTTTGGACACTCCGGGTGCTCTCCGACACAGAAAGGGAACATTTCTCAGATGCCAAAATGCCTTATGTCCTCAAGAGATTATATTAAATACAATATTCTGTGGGGTTTGTTTTGATTGTTGAAGTATATAGATACTCATCCCGAGGCCGTTACCTTTGTCTCTTCCAATTTAAATTTCCTCACACTTCCTTGTGGGCTTGTCGGATCTGTTATGAGAATCGGGACGTTTTGACGTCTATTGATTGGTAAACATGGCTGAATCTTTGTTAGATAAAAATCGAACTGCAGCTTGACTGCCCTTCTGCATTTGTCAACTCTCTAGGTACCTAAATGCAAAGGATCATTACTCCCAGCCATTCTACAGCATCTGACGAATTCCAGTCCAGAGAAGCGGATGCAGTTTTTACCTTGACCTGCCCAGACACAGCTGTCACTCATGATGTATTGTTGTAATTCTTTTTGTACAGATCAGCAGTTTGTTTTTATGTTGTGATTTATTTTGTTGCCTTAAATTCAAAGCTGAAAGGGTGTCACTAATGACATGTAGGACAATTTTTAACAATGTCATGATTTTACTGTTGCAGCACTGCACAAAGATAATCTAAAGTTGTATATTTACTCAAGGGAATTGTTGGTGTGTCAACAGTGTCAAAAAAAACAAAGCAAGCACCTATTCTGTATTCTGCTTTGACATCAGACTATAGTCTCAATGTCTGATGTTGCCTTCTGATTTTATTTGTCTATTTGGGGTTTAAATCTATAAATAAACAGCTTGTTTTCTCAGACTATGAGATTTGGGTTTTTATTTTAAGAATTGTCATTGTTTTATGTGTTTAATATACAATAAAAACAAAAAAAATCTCACTCAACTAGTCATTCAAGTCAACATGATCAGAATAAAACTGCCCTGCAAGGGTAGGTTTTATAAGGAATGATGGAGACAGGAAAAATGAACTGTTCTGAAAAACCGAATTCAAGCTGGAGAGAGTTTCATGTTTTTTCTTCATTAAAATTCAAAGCAGCAGCTCTCTGATAGGACTGGGAATAGGAGATTTGGGAACAGGGAGAGACAGAGCAGTCGAGCACTTAAAGTCCTGTGCCTCTCTAAAGATGGGTTTTAAAAATAGGACTAGCTTTGTGTGTCTAAACAAGCTAAATCCAACTTTGATCAAGTCTTATAACCTCCAATTCGTAAGCCTTTGTTTCTCCGGCGTTCATTCTCCTTCCTCTCATCTCCTCACAGAGAGACACCATCTGGTGCGCATTAGCATCACACCTGCTTTCTACCTGAGCCACTTCATTCAGCCAAAACTGCCCTTCTAGCCTGTAATTGAGATACTGCTTTTGACATATTGATTTAGGGACATTTATCTAGCCTCCAGTCCTTGCTACATATGTGGTAACCTATAATTGTACATTCTGTAATGAGTTTAACATTTGATCTCTGGCATTGGTTCAATCAAAACCTGCTGTCTGCGTCCTGGTGCTTTGAAATCTGCTATATGTCTGRGTCTGATGTAGGTCAGCCAGAGAGGGCAGAGCCAGTTAAAGGCTGTTGTGTTATCAAACAAAATAAAAGAGCAGTCGTCATACACTTGTGTTTATTTCTTATGCCCCGGAGCAGTAATAAGGAATCTGAGAGGAGTCAATGTGCCTGTTGTCAGTGGAGGAAATGGAGAGAAGATTGTCTGATCTCATTTAGGCAGCGAGACCACAAGGTCCCCTTTTTTTTTTCTTTTTGCACACTCAATTACACCTGCTCCTCCAGGTCCACGTCGCTGAGCATGTTCACAAAGAGGCACAAAGATCTGCAAATAAACAGAAGCACGGCCGTAAGACCTCTGCTTTCCTGATTGGGCAAAAAAAAAGAAAGACTGTGCATTTGTATTGACATGAATTAATTGCTTCATGGCTTGTGAGATTGAATTAGCTACGTGACGTGCTTGCAAGTGGTGATGCCGCTTTTGATTGCTGCCTTTAATAGCATCTGTTTTCTTTTTCTTCCATCCTTTTAAAAAGACAGTTGCAGCCTGTGCTTTCACAGTAATGGGGGCAGATCCCCCACCCTCCAATCCACCATGATATGCTTTAATGATTCTGTTTATGAGAATGAAAGAGCTGGTAGAAAAATGGGGAGATTTCGCTAATAAAAGAGCGCATCCACGTGTGTGTGTGTGTGTGTGTGTGTGTGTGTGTGTGTGTGTGTGTGTGTGTGTGTGT